TCCTGACAGAACTGTATATTTATACTTTATTTCCAGGTTCCAGAAAGCATATGCTGCAGGAATTTTCTTGCTTTAAATTCCTGGATCAGAGAGAAAGTATCAGTTACCCACTGTCAACCATTTCTACAAATGCTTCCAGGTGAATATGTGATTGGATTAGCCATATCTCATATCCCCAGAGTCAATGAGTCCTTATTGACTTTAAATACCTCAAAGTCTGATTAAAGATACCAAAAGAAACTCTGCTACTGAATATATTCTTCTTGACTTAAATTTTACGTAGTATGCCCAAATTTTCAGATGCACCTCTAAAGTCTTGTCCCAGTATGCATACATGACAAACAACACAGATGACCTGCCTTCTGTGTGTCCCCTAAGGCTGTGGATAAAAGCCATTTATAAACTCAACAGTTGCTTCCTTCCGTTGAGAAAAATAACTTCTCTTCATCTGGCCTCAGGAGGGCCCTGTGTGTCTAAGGAAATCAGCATGGTGGGAGCACAGTTTCCATCCCCCAGAGAAGGCGGTCTAGCCAGGACACATCGCCCGGACCCCCAACACAAGAGCTGGCTTTCAGGCCAGTGGTTTGACTTTACTCTGTTCCCATGAAATGAATTTCCTGGCCATGACTCACTTGGTGATGAGACTCTGGCTGATAGTCCCTTGTTTTACTGCTGTGACAAAGTGTCTGGCACAAGCCACTTAAGGACAGAGGGTTCAAGAGTATAGTCCATCACGTTAGGGACATCACGGGGCAGGGCTCAAGGCAGCTGGCCACACACTGCATCCACAGTCAGACCATGGAGAGAAACGAGCAGGTGGGCCCAGTTTTCTGCTTCTCTTTTATGGAGTTCTGGACCACAGGCTATGCAATAGTACACCCCACGGTGGGTGTGTCTTCCCACAGTAACTAAAATTAGCCTAATCCAGATGATCCCTCACAGATACGCCGAAAGGCTTGTCCCTGGACGATTCTCGATCCCATCAAATTGACAGTTGAGTTTAAGCACCACTCTCAACTATGCTGACTTTTTACTCGTGAGCATATGTATTATTCCTTCTAATTCTCTGTAAAACTTAAAAAAAAACAAATCATCACAAAGAATGTTATCCTAATAGGAACCCTTCACTTTGATCAGTGAGAAAAGCTGACTCCAGAGTCATCTGTGAGTTTCAGAACAATAATAGGGAATAAACTTATCATTAAGAAAACACCAGCCTATCAAAGCAATGACTGAAGAAAGATGCTCTGCCATGTTTACCAAAAGCTGTGGCTGGTTGCGCTAACTATAGCGCAGTGCTCGGAAGGGCGCATATAGATGTCAGCCCCTCGCTTGGGTCTGCTAGTGTGACACAAAAGGAAAAATACCCAGACCATGACAACCAAGACTCGGCAGTTTGGGGACACACATCTGCTGTGAGCCGCCAAAGGACCAGATGGAAAAATAATTTCAGCACACACTGTTTTGATGGTGGGGGCTAGTGGCATCATTTACAGAAAAGTTACAGCGTACTTAGCTGAGACTGAGTTGAAGAGCTCACTAGTACATCATGCTATTAGTATTTAACCATTAGGTCTTCCCTTCTCGAGTGTGTATTTTGCAAGGAGACTGAAAAGGAATTCAAATGCTTTCATATCTCTCTTTTGTTTTGTATTTTTGTTTACTGAGATGGGTCCATTTTAAAAATGACGCAGATATGCCTTAAATATAAGGCAAAATTTGAATTTGCTTTGTATTTTTGAGACAGGGCCTTGTGTAGCCCTTGATCATAGTACGTTGCCAAGGCTAGCTTTGAACTCTTGATACTCTTGTCTCTACCTCCCTTGTGCTTGGGATTGTAGGTCTGTGCCACACAGTGCCTAGTTCTTATGCTTTTGAAAGTTCTCCAGAATCTGAGTGAATAATTGCAAGTTGGATGTGTCCATGCATGCTACAGACTCTTGAGGTGGACTCAGGAAGGTCAGGGATTCAAGGCCATGCTCTGCTATGCAGGGAGACCTGAGACCTACCTACAAAAAGTAAGACCCTGCTTCAAAAAGCTAAAACCAAGCATAGCAAAAAGCAGCCACAAAGTGACCTATCATCTTGAGGCATACACAGGCTGGTAACAAATATTAGTGTTTCCCATTCTTATCAATATGATTCTGAAATGCTGGCTTTGTGCAAATACTGGGGAGAGGCTAGGCAAAGGGATGGTACGGCATAGATTGGAACCACAACACACAGCATGCACCACTGTGACTCTTCAATTGGGATTCAGCTCTATCCCTGGACTCTTCTCCCAGCCCTGTCAGGAACAGCCAACATGAGTCTTCCCTTACATTTTATCCTCAGGACACTACAAATGATGCCGTCTCCCCTGTTACCCAAACACATGACCAGATACTCAACAGGGGCCCTGGGAAGGAAGGGCCAGGGCATGACAGAGCCATGAAATACACGGTGGTCATATGCTCCAGAAATGACCAAGGATGAAAAAGCACGCCAACCCTCAGCACATGGGGAACACAACAGTGCCAGGTGTTTAGTGCAGGACAAACATCTGGATGTGTGGTTATATGAGTTATTCTTCCTCCAGATGTTGGACTATTGTAAATATTAAGGATAGGCAAGAAGTTACTTTGTAAATTTGAAAATGGGACCTGATAGAAAGGAGAGATAAATAATCGGAGGTTGCAGGGTGTTTCAAAGAACAATAATAAAGCAGGAGGGGCTAACCCTTTGTCACCTCAGCTTTGTAGTTCTGTCAGAAAGAAGAACCCCCAAGTCAGCAGGAACTCCCAGTAGTTCTAGTAAAGGTCTTTCTCTTATGGAATTCTTTTCAGACCATTATCAATCTTGATTTATGTGTACTTGTGTGTACAAGTTTGTGTGTTTGTGTGTAATGTGTGTGTGTGTGGGGAGGTGTTGGGTGTCTGCCTTGATCACTTTTCCATCTTAATTTTTGAAGCAGGATCTCCCACCAAACATGGAGCTCACTGTTTGCCTGGGCCACCTGACTAGCAGGCTCGAAGGACTCATCTGTCTCCCCTCTACCCACAACACTGGAAGCATGGGTGTATCCATTAGCTCTGATTTCTCACAGCAAACACATGACTGACAGAGCCATCTCCCCAGACCCTCATTTCCAATACAAAAGTCAATTACACATGAGGACAAGGAAGTCAGAATATGGTATGGTCCCACTCGTTCAGTTTACAATTAATAAACACAGGAGATGTAGCCACCTGTATCTTAAAAGACCCACTGGTCCCCTCAAGGGAATTCAAACACCACCACATGATTGTGCAGGTGTGTAATTCAAGCCCTGTATTGTGTTTCACATCCAAACCTCACCAGTGTGATTTTAATCAGACATCCTCTCCATCTCTACTAATCCTTCCACTGAAGAGAAAAATGACACTTGCTATTTATCTCTCTGAAAGCTTACTGGAAAAAGTTCATATTGATATTAATATATATGACTAACATGGAAATATATAGCAAATATATATGTGTATATGTCTGGTGTGTGTGTGTGTGTGTGTGTGTGTGTGTGTGTGTGTGTGTGTGTGTGTGTGTGTGTGTGTATTTTATTTCCTGTGCTTTCTGGGGAGCTTAAAATACAGTTGTTTTTTTTTTCTTAGACAGGATGGCCTCAGGCTCAACTCTAGTTAGACATAATCCTTGAGGAACTGTCTTTTGCAGCAAACATCAAATGGTTTAAAAATCTGAAGATAAACAATATTTATAGGTACCACCAATCCCCTCTCTGTTTGGGACTGTCCTATATTTCACAGTTTAGACCATTATTTTCTAAACTGGAGGTCCATATTAGAGTTTGAAGTCCCCAGATTAAGCACTGAACAACTTTGCCAGAGGCAAGTTTTTATACTGCCTGTGGAAATGCCAAACGCAGATAAAACAATGACCTTAAGGCAGTGTTAGGAAAGCTTTTAGCTGCCGCAGCATGGCCTACCTTCTCATACTCAGTCTCGGTATTTTCAGACTGAAATTACTCATCTGTGACCGAGCCATCTGCCTGGGACAATCCTCCATGGGGTCAGGAACCAGGAATAAGTAGACAGAATGTGAAATTTGGAGGCGGGTACAGACCCTAAGGCTAGGAGAGCCAGCAGAAAGTTGGATAGACAAGCTTTCCATTGCACCCAGTACTGCTGAGGTCACGGAGTCCTGCCTTGCCTGGAGTAAGCTGCGGGTGATAGTTAAGCAACCCTCCCAGAGCTGAAAGCTCGGTGTCTTAGCTGCCTTCAGCTGGCTGTGTCTGCATCAGGCTGTGAGCCACAGCCCTCGGTGAAACCCCACAGAGCTGGTGGTGCTATGAACACATTGTGTGAACGCCTGTGCCGGTCGCTGTGCTTTGTATTAACTTGAAAGAGAAAGGCCCCCAGTGCAAGGCACAGAGCATTAGGAAGGCAGCTGTGGTTCAAGGCTGCAGGGAATAATACTGCTAACAAAATTTCTCCATGGAGAGCCTGCCTGTCTATACACAAGCTTGTACACACACACACACACACACACACACACACACACACACACACACACACACGATACATGTCCGCAAATTTCATTATTTTTCTTTTTAGTATTTATCATCTATTATCACTATGCCTTTGTTTGTTAGTTTGCTTTCCTTTATTTTATTCCCATCAATTTAAAATGAGACTAATTCTTAGGGTAAGAAGATTCCAAAGTGGTCACCTTGAGAGGCAAAGCTATGTATACCCAAATCATGAAGTACTAAATGCCTGGCATTTAGGATTGTCAATATCAGTCTAATTTTGCAGGTTCTCGTCTTTTAATGACCACAGGTGGGTGACGTTTATAAATGAGCTCTGCTTTCATCTAAGGGGCTCTGGCCACCTCTAGTATGTCAGTGACAGCACAGGCTGCAGTCACCCAGAAACTCACCTGTCTTCATGTCAGCTTGCACACTGGACTCCCGAGCAAGCCTGTTTGATGGCGATCATCTCGTTTCCCACCGCTATCCCAGCACTCACCTTGGGGGTACTGAAGAGTGGGCGGGGAGGAGGGCACTGTGAGAGCCTCTTGGGAGTCGGCAGATGAGGGACTCTGGCTTGATGGGGAGGGTGAGGCAGGGGCTGTTGGCAAGCTCAGGTCCAAGGAGAGGTCAGCTCTGCCCCGGCTCACGCTCCGGCTTCTCAGCTCCTTCTCGTGCGTCTCGGCTGCCAACTGCTCCAAGTATTTGTATCTGAAAGTTAAATTCCAAAGGGTTTCCGTAAAAAGAAAGAGGAGCCCGTGGCTGACGCTTGTTTATGGATGAAACACCTGCAGAGTGAGCTGGTTTCCTGATGCATGGAGCAGAGCGCAGGGCTGACTGGAGGGTCAGTCTGCCAAATGCGCACAGCAAAGCCAAGATGCTAGCCACTAAAAACCCTGCATCATTCATAAGCAAGTGAGTGAGGACAAACAGCAACATCACACAAAACCGGACCCCAGCTCACTGCTGCAGAATCTTCATTCCCCCTTTAGGACACATTTACACAAATAACAATAACAAACTAGCATATGATGACCTGCAAAGGCTCTGGCAGTGACAGCTGAGAACTGAACCCCTGTGGAGTTCACAGCTGGGAAGTGGGAGGGTTCCTTGGTGTGGTAGAGAGAAACAGTGCCCCCAAATACCAAAAAGGGGGCTGCTTGGACAGAAGCCTCTTGGAATTCCTGAACCTGCTTCAATGCTAACAGCAATGCGACTGGAATTCACTTTGTTCTCTCAGCATGGCCCATGGAAACTTTTTTATATTCTAAAATATTTCTGAGCAGGACTCAGACATCCAATAGCTTGGACCTGACGTCACGTACAGTTTATTCATCAAAGTCAGTTTGAGAGAACAAAGATACATCTGTTTTGCATTGCAGGCAGGCAGAACCCACTAACTGTTTATTAAGAACAGCTACCAATCATCTTCCTCCTAGTGCACTTTATAGATCGGACCAAAATAACTTTGAAATGTGTGCTTCTTCCAGATGTCTACATAGAAATAATGCGTGAGTTAAGCTGGGGCAGGTCTCCATTTCCCCAATGGTACAACAGTTTGTGCAAAACCCATCACTCTATGCCTACGCCTGAGTACAACAGCTCCACCAGCCACCAGGGACCGCCCCCCCCCCCCCCATCCCAGGATACCACTCCTCATTCACTGGGATGACCAAGGCAGAGGCATAGTTAAAGTCTTCAAAGTAATTTGATAATTCAGAAACATGCGACTGCGGCTGGGGAGGAAGCTCAGTTGGTCAAATGTGTGCCTCGAGAGTACGAAGAGCTGAGTTTGATCCCTGGGATTCACACGTAAGAGCCAGACAAGGTGCCATGTTCTTGTAACCTCAGGACTGGGAAATGAGAGACAAGCAGATCCCCGAGGCTTACTGCTCAGCCAGCCTAGCATACTGGGGTGGCTCAGGCCTGTCAGAGGCACTGTCTCAAAAAACAAGGTAGACGGCACCCAAGGAACAACATCTGAGGTTGACCTCTGACCTGCCCACAAGTGCATGTGTGCATACACAGACACATGCACTTCAAGTCTCACCCTTGAGGAGTGTATGGCCTCCCCTGTCACCTTCGCCCCCCCCCCCCCCACACACACACACAGGCAGGCTGCCCTTCAGGCTCTGCCAGCATGCCCTTCTTCCTCTGTGGCACTGACTTGGACCGGCACAGCTGCAAGCAATCGCAGCCTTGCCTCTGAACTCATGTTGGATATGTAGCCCACTCAGCTCCGATGGCATTTTACATTGACTGCCGGGCATATTTCGTCAGCTCTTCCCATGTGTGCGCCTGGTTTCAACAAGCAGATGATACGATTTGGGAGAGCACCCTCCTTGGTTCTTTCCCTTGGTGCCTTGCCTGTGTCCGCCGACAGGAAGTAGGCAAAGGGTGCATGGAGAAAGTTGCCAGGAAGCCCCCACTTGCAGAGGAAGCCTAGGGTTGCATGTGCCCCATCTCCCTGGCCAGTGAGCCAGCTTTCCTGGGAAGAGCAGCAATGGGTTGTACATGCTAGCACCCAAAGCTTGGTGCTGAGAGGACTGCCTCAGAGACAGACGGACAGACGGACAAACAGACGGACGGACGGACGGAGAGGACAGAGCCGTCATCAGAAAGGCTCCACTCTGACTGTCCTGCTAATGGCAGTAGTGCAGGAGATATGAATCCCAGAGCAGAAAAGGCAGAGTTTCAGGAACCATGTTCTCACATGAAGGGTTTCTAGCCAGGAGGCCAACTTACCTTAAAAAACAAAACGAAACAACAAACACAGTGTGGTTCCCTACATAGCCACATCTTGCCCCACACGTGATCCTATCAACCCATTTTGGCCTTTCATTTGATCTGGTCCAGCCCTAGTCTTGGCCTTCCACATCAGACTCTGGGCAGCCAGGTTGGCAGGCAGGGGCTGCCAGCCCATGGGTTCAGATCGGTTTCTGGCAGGAATCCAAAGGGCTGTTCTTCCAAGAGATGGTTAGATATTCACAGAGACTATTCCTGGGTGTGCATAGGTGCATAAAGGCCATCATCAAAGATGTACAGGACAGAGGAGGAGCCCAAAGACTTAACTAGAATTGTCCCAAGGAAGGAAGGTATTTATTTATAGGGCAACAAAAGAGCAGGGCTGGGGAGAGCAGTGTTGGTCGGCAGGGGTACAGTTTCGGTTTACACAATGAGACTTCTGGTTGTACAATTGTGTGACTATGCTTCACATTACCGAACCATACACTTAAATGGCTAAAATGGTCAAGCGTATGGTAGGTGTACTTTGTACACATGCACACTCTTTAAAATAACTTTTTAGGTTATTTATTGTATGTGTATGATTGTTTGCCTGTATGCATATGCATGCACCACATGTGTTCATGGTGTCTGGGGAGGTCAGAAGAGGGAAGTGTCAGATCCCCTGGAACTGGAGTTACAGATGGTTATGAGCCATCATGTGGATGCTGGGAACCAAACCTGGGCCCTCTGTGAAAGCAGCAAGTATGGTGATATTTTATTTGTACTGAAATGTGATTTTATTTGTATATTAATAAATAAAGTTGCCTAGGGGTCAGAGCAAGCCATAGCAGAAGCTGGGCTGTGGTGGTGCACACCTTTAATCCCAGCACTTGGGAGGCAGAGCTAGGCGGATCTCTGTGTGTTCAAGGATACAGCCAGCATGGAGATACATGCCTTTAATCTCAATACCAACCATAGAAGACCTGGAGGTCTGTACAAACAGGCAGTGACAAGGAGGTCATGTTGTTGGGTTTACAGCCAATGAGAAGGCAGAATAGAAAGTCAATAAAAAGGACAAACACACAGGAAGTAAGTCTCTTGCTGAGGAGGACAGCAGTAGCAGTGAAGGGTAAGGTTTTTAGCTCTTAGCTATTGCTCTGACCTCTTGGGCTTTTAACCCTGCAATTGGCTCTGTGTTTCTTATTTAATAAGATTGTTCATCTACAAGCAAGTGCTCTAAACCACTGAACCATCTTTCTAGCCCCAACTCACACATCTTTAGTTTAATAGGGCTGCCCCTATTGCCCTATGCCAGTGGTGATCAGGAGCGTTATTTTCTTGGAAGAACAGCAACAGTGTTTGTCTGCAATGATTGGAGAGATGAGGGTGGTAGGCTGGTATACATGAAAGTCACAGCTCATAGTAGTGGGAAATGTCAGAGCTTGACCAACCTCCTGACATACAGGAACTTCTAGCATCCTGGGCAGGAAGCTAGATCCATAATGAGCTTTTCATACTAAAGCCATGCACACAGGGGTCCAAACACATCAACTCTTGGGAGGCATCAACTCATGAGATGACTGTCCCTGATGGCCACATGCCCAGATGCCCTGTGAAGCAACACCAACCCTATGATCATGACAAGGTTGCCACACAAAGCACTAACCTGTGTCTGTGGAGGTCACCTCTGCGCCTCCATCAAGCATCCTTCTGCTATGCCTCTCTCCTTTGTTTATACATTCATCTTTTCATTTGTTTATTGAACATTTGTTCAATGTGCCTGTTACATGCTAAGGACTGTAATAGACACTAAGCAATTAATACTAGACAAGAAAAATATCCCACCCTCATGCAGCTCACAGTGCCATGGGAGAAAGAGAGGTAAATAAACATTTGGAATGAACTCTGATACCCAGAAGGTATACCAGGGCAGGACCAGACAGAATTTCAGCTCAGTCTCTCTTTACTGAGCTGCACACACACCCTATATGAGCCAATCCTACTCATCAAGACTTTTCCTCCTGCCCTCCTACCTAGGTCTCCCTCACATGGAATTCAAGCCCTCTGACATCTCCTGGGCCTCCCAGCAATGCTCAGCATCTTTTCTCATGGTTCCTAGACCACCATCATCATGAGTGATTTTCAGTTTTCCAGTGCATCCCCAATCTCCCCTTATACTTTCTTCCTGTGACCTCTTATTCCCTCAGACTAGTCGAACCAAACAAGGAAAACAGTTAGCTCAGACTCTGGGGATACGTCTGGCTCTGTCTACTGAACCCTGTGCAGGCTGAGAGACAGGGTGTGGAGGAAGACTGCGGCAGGGGCAGAAAGCCTGCTCTTGCCCCTGCTGAGATGACCACCTGCTGTGTAGGCGGGCATTCTGGGAGAAGAGGAGACCGAGGGTAGAGCAGCAATGGGAGAATGGGAGTGACAAACTCCTACGTGAGTATGCCAGGAATAAGCAAAAACCTAAGTGGGGAATAGCCAGAGAGCTCTGCGAAGGCGCCCTGAGCCAGCTCTGACCTTGACAAAGCACTGGACATCCCTGCAGGAGCCATGGGGCCTTGCCTGTGTAGACACAGCCTGACAGTCCAACTCTCAGAAGCTCAAAAGTACAGAATCTAGGAGAAAGCTAAACATATAAAATTCAAAATCCCTTAACCCCGTGTAAAAATAATCAGCAGTATTTCAGTAAGAGTATATGCCTCCCATTATCTGAAGCTCACTTAGCCGAGAAAAAGGAGTTTCTCGGCTTTTCACCAGCACCTTTCACTCTGGATTTACTGACCACCACTGGTTATTAGGATGACAATAATCTAATAGAATGTAGGAAATAAACCAATGTTTTATTCATGAGGCTGACTTAAGCATCTAATTTTTTAATTGAGCACAGACAGTCTCCAGTGTTGCCTGACTCAGACTGTCTTGATCTATTTAGCTGATGGTGTCTAAAACATTAGCACAATTCCACATCACATTGGCACAGGCCAAAAATGGTTAGGTTCCCACTAGGCTCCAGTACAAAAGGCATAAACTGAGCCTGTCCCTCTCCCCATACTATATCGCCATCTGGTGACAGAGTTAGTAACTGCAGGCTGTAGGGGGCTGGGGTAAAAACTTTGGCCTGTCGATTTCCATGACTATCGTCCTTTGTTTATCTCAAGCTATCACAAACTTAATATATGAACTTTACGGTTTATAATGGAGTTAAATTAATGAACTAAGGCTGGGGAGATGATTCCGCAGTTAAGAGCACAGGCTGCTTGCTTTTTCAAACGACCGAGGATCTATTCTCGGGACCTAAACAGGAGCTCACAATAGTCTGTAACTCCTGTCTCAGGAGATCTGACATCTTTTTCTAGCCTCCAAGGGTACCAGGCATGCATATCGCACACAGATACTCATGCAGGCAAAACACCTATACACATAAAAAATAAAATGGACCAAGTTTGCAGTTTGAAGATTTCAAATGAAGCTGTTAGTTTGCTAAATAATTTATTTTTTAAAACTACATTTTCTCTTTCTCTGTCCCCCCACTCTCTCTGAGTGTGCATGTGCGTGCGTGTCTGTGTGTGTGTGTGTGTGTGTGTGTGTGGTGCATAACATACATGTGGGGGGGGGTCAGAAAAAGCTGCAGAAGTTGGTTCTCTCCGTCATGTGTGTCCCAGGGATCAAACTCAGGTCACTGGGCTTGGCAGCAAGCGCCTTTTACCCACTGAACCCTCTTGCAGGATGTCATGTATTCATTCATTCTATACTTTATTTCTAAGTGCCCACTGTGAGTACCAAACACTGCAGGGGCTATTTGGGAATGGGTCTTTTGCACATTGGGGACAATATCTGGTATGGCATGTGTGCTCAATTATTGATTGACTGAATGAATATGGCCCAAGGGACCTGGAAGTACATAGTAAGAACACCTAATCCAGGCTCAAGAGTGCTGGTACAAGGTGTTTCAAGTGTGGTTAATGGAGGCATCATGATGTCTGGTCAATTACAGATGACTTATGGAATGACGGTCCCTGAGCCGTTAGTGCCTAGTGCTGTCCCCACCATCTTGGTTTGTTAGTGTTCACAAAGATATTCAGACAATGACAAAAACCATCCAGCAATGAAGTTTTCAGAACTCATCTCCATCATTGTGACATGTGACTGTGGCTAACATACATCAAGAGGGAGATGATAATGTGCTCATTTGGAGAAGGGTTTAGGAGCATAGATTTGGCCATGATGACGTCTCTAGGCATCTTTCCATCTCTGATCTCCGTCAGTCACCATATCTATTATAAATCCAGAGTTTTCTTGGAATATAAAGTAAGGAGGCCAGGTGTTTGCAAATACCAGCCATGCAATGCCAAGGTGCCTTAGGTGAGGTTAATGCTCCCCAGGGGACTCTGCATGCTTGGTTAACAGTGCCAAGTCACATGACACCTCGTTACAAAGTGAAAGAAACATACGCACCTTTCTTCCCTCGCTTGTCTTTGCTCCTCTCTTTTGTCTAGATATTCTCGGCTAGCAGAAATGTTCAGAACAAACAACAAGAGGAGAAAAATAGACTTAGATGTTCAGAAGATTACAAAGCAATTACTAAAAGGAAAGGCCCTACTATTGCCTTAGGAAATGAAAATTTGTCATAGTTGAATGCTAAAAGTTTAGGGGCTCCTTCAAACATGCTAAACACAGTGGATTTTTTTTTTCAATAAAATGGAAAGAAGTCAGAAAAGCAGGAAAACATTGGCTTAGTCAGAAACACTACTCATCACTCTGTTTTCAGCCCAAGGCCACTGAAAGGTCTTACTTTGTGCTTTCACTTTTATTTACACCCATGACATGTCCAACATTGTTCAATTTTAATGTTTCATTTTTCTGGTCCTGCTGGTGAGGTTCCAACTTAAGTCTAAGTTAAAGACTAGCTGGCCACATGTCTTTCAGCAGACTGTTTTCCTGGAGAGTCTGGACATCATGGTTGTCTACACTGGACCTTATAATGTGGTGGAGGGTACATAATAACTGGACATAACGAGACAATCTCAGAAAGACTAAAGGAGGTGTAGACTGGGGAAAATGCAGGAAGGATCCAGATGTGCTGTGCATAAGCATCCATGTTCATTGTCTTCCAAGCTAGAAATCTTCTAAGCCAGGAAGCTTGATGCTTCATCACTAACGCACCTGAAGCCGGAGGATAACTGTGATGTGCAAAGGCATGAGGCATGTGAACAATTTACTCAGCAGGACTGAGATGTGGGCTGCCAGAGCAAGATCACCCCTGGCATGGAGGAGACATGCACCTTAATGTGCTTCCCTATTTAATTCTCTTTCCATCCACATTCTCAAATATGGAGCCATGGTCACTGTAACTAATTGTCACCTGTGGTCAGTCTGTCCTGATGACTAGCATTCTTTGTGGACAAGGGGTCACTTTGCTTGGTTCTCTCTGCACTCTTAAATAACAAGTGATAATCACCTGAAAGCCAAAGTTAGTGGTGACTGATGATGCGCCATCTCTGAAGACCAGATGTCAGAGTCAGTCCCCAGTCTGTGTGCACGTAAACGTGTGTACAACATGGATTTGAATGTTACAACACGTTCTCAGTCTATCTTCCTGCTTTACTGGGACTCCAATGCAATAAATAATAGGGATTTGGGTGTTTTTCCAAGGGTTTCTGAGACTTCTTTTTCTCACACTTTGTTTCCAGTAGGCTCACTGGCCCCCCTCTCTCATTTCAATTCTGCTGCCTGCCTCATCCAACGAATTCATGATTTTTTCCATGTTTCAGCTATGTGCATTTCTACTCAGCTTTTCTTCACATCTTCACAAAGGCTTGTCTTTTCAGCTGTTTCAAGCATACTTCTGCTACCCTTGCTCTTTTTTTTTCAGTCTTACTAGTAAAAAGTCTTACTCTGGTAACATTCCACTGTAATATATAGGGAATGAATTCTAATGTAGTTTGTCATATAGATCAATTATTTCCAAGAATAGCTTGTGGCAGAGATGTGCTTGCCTTTACTCTTGGAACACATTCACAATAGTTACTTTAAAATCTGCCTGACAATGACATCATCTGTGTCCCTTCAGTCGTTATCATCTTTTCAGCATCTTTCTTCTTTGTGCTAAAATTTCCTCAGCTCTTTGTGACAGGCTGTTTTGCATTGCATCTGTTTATCTCAAATCTACAACAAAAATCTGAGGACTTAAATTCTAAAAATGACACTCATTCTTGTTTTGTTTTTGTAGATAATCAAATAGATTGGGTTCACCTGTGAGCACCTTCTGACGTGGGCTCCAGTATTATTAGTTCAGTTCTCTGGAGTTTCTACTGTGTTGGGTCAGGCCTTGTGCACCACCCTGCAGTCGTCCTGGGACCTGGGTGGTAGTCCTCTCTCTAGCCTGTTCTCAGAGCTGGGCTGGCTGTTTATGCTAGGAGCTACACATGTTCAAATCAGAGATGGGTTGCAGCTCAGGAAGCTCTCTCTCTCTCTCTCTCTCTCTCTCTCTCTCTCTCTCTCTCTCTCTGTGTGTGTGTGTGTGTGTGTGTGTGTGTGTGTGTGTAGTTCAGAGGACAATCTTGGTTTATTCCTCAGAATCACTATGCACCTTGTTTGATTTTGTGGGTGGGTGTGACTGTGTATGCAGAGGCCAGAGGAGAATGCTGGGGATCCTGCTTTATCACTTTCCACCTCATTCCTTTGAGACAGGGTCTCTCATTGAACCGGGCCTGGGATGGGACTAGCAAGGCCCACTAACGCCCTTGTCTTCCCCCAGCTCCCTATAAGCCCTCCACAGCACAGGCTTTTACAGGTCTGCATGCTTCCAGACTTAGCTTTTCATGTGGATGCCTGGATCTAAATTCAAGTCCTCGTGTTCTATAGCAAGCATTCTTCTTACCCACTGAGCAATTGCTTCAGCCCCACCTCAGCCAGGGCCCACCCTTTTTGAGACAGAATGACTCATAGGCTCAAAGCTTACCTAAGTAAGCCAGGATGGGTGGCCACACAGCCTCCTCACAGGCATCCTCCTGTCTCTGCCTCCCTGGCAATGGGAGGACAAGTGTATGCCACTATAGGTAGATTTATTACCCAGGTTCTAAGGTTAAAGTTGGATTTTCACACTTTCATGGCAAGCACTTAATGAACTATCCCCTAGCTTTCTCTGGTGCTGGTGGTCCTGTTTTCTCTAGAAGCAGCATTTCGTGTACCCAATTTTAAGTGATTTTCAATAAGACTTTTGGTGTATAACTTAATCCTTGAATTTTCCACGTATTTTGAGGCAAATTCTCAGCTGCTAATTGGTGGTAAAACATGAGATTTCTCAAAGATCCATAAATCAGAAAGCATTTAACTTGTTCCAGGGGTTTTAAAAATTGGATTTTATAAACAACTTCTGGAACTACCTCAGAAGGGGTGCAGACAGGTTGATGTTTCCACGCACCATTTGGTAGAATTCTGACAGCTCATAGTATACCACACACGTGTGGCAGAAAATGATCTTGGTTTACCTCATGTCACCTATTCATCCTCTCTTACCAAAGCCAGGCTTAGCCTTCCACTGAGAGACTTGGAGTGTCTGTGCATGAAGCAGTAAGTAGTCACTAAGCAGCTTTACAATTCTGCTCGTATTTGGGTCATTTCTACAATGACACATGCTCCTCTTGGCCTCTGGGGAAGTCACTGAATCTGTAAGTTATCACTGATCATGCCTTATGTTCTCTAAGGATGTGACGAGCGTCATCCATGGGAGTGTCTGCCAAAGAAACTAAACTGAGGAAATGGGAAGCAGAGATGGGGAGAAACATGGGAAGAGGGGGAAATGGCGATGTTCTGGGAGGGATAATGAGAAGCCGAGGGTGTAAGATACAGAGTGTGGTGGGGAGAGGCAGGAAAGGGGGAGAGGAAGAGAAGAGGGGGGAAGAAGGGCAGGGAGGAAAGGTGTAAGGAAAGACTTGGTGCTGTGCATTCTCCAAAGCACAGCATGTGGAGCCCAGGGAGGGGAGAGGAGAGAGCTGGACCCGGAGGACAACCAACAGGTGAACTGGTAAAAGGGGAAGCAGGGGGACGCTGGGTTCAATGGGAACAGAGAGGCTAAGACATGGACATTCAATGGGACGTGGAACCTTCAATGGGACATGGAACCTTTAATGAGACAGCCCAGGGAAACATCCATAGAGGGAACAGAGAGCATGGCATAGGCTTGGAGTAATTGGTACAAAAATTCACCCACATGAAAAATCAATACATATCATACAAGATAAATTTTATCATATATTAAAAAATATATCCACATATATATGAATATGTAGTTACTACAGGGAGCAAAGAACAAACCAGAAAGTTGGGGGAAAAAAGATTTTCTTTCCGCATCTAATAGGATATGAATAAAACATGAAGACCTTCAGGGAGAAATGGCAAATTACATTGAGGCAATCAGGCTCTGTGTCCTGGGTAAAGCCACTTTGACTGATGGTGACCAAGGTTGCACAGCATCCTAACTGCATTTGGCTGCCTGTGCTTCCTGCCACATGGCTAGAGGAAGGCAGGACACACCATACCCAAGCAGCCTGCTGCAGGGAGTCTTACTCCTCTTCAAAGGTATGCACAGAATTGGGAGCAAAGGTGTTGCCTCCTGGCCCACTTAGGAAGCCTGTAAGTCTGCGCTTTAAGTTCGGAAGCACAGTTAGAAACAGTCTTCAAGCCCTTACTTGAATCGGTTTCGCTCTTCCCGCTCTATCCTCTGCAGCCTTTCTTCTCTCTCTTGGCGCCTCCGTTCTCTCTCTGCTGCCAGGGACTCCTGGTGCTGCCTGAAGGAGGATGTGAGGAGACCGCTTGGCGATGGCCTGAAAACACAACATTATGCTTTAGTTGCTTGGCCTGTGGATAAAAGCATAGAGCGGGGGCCTGGGGAGATGGTTCAGTGGTTAAATCTCTTGCCTCATGAATGTGAGGACCAGAGATCAAATGCCTAGAACCCATGTAAATGATGAGTTACCAGTGTGGTAGCCTGCCTGTAAACTCCTATCTGGGAAGGCAGAGACAGGGGATCCCCAGAGCAAGCTGGCTAGTGAGCCTGGCCATGGCAGCAAGCTTTGGCTTTGACTGAGATCCTCTGCCTCAATGAGTAAAGGTAGAAGAGCCATGGGGGATGCTTCTCAACATCAGCTTAGGGCTTCCACCAACATCATACATGATACATGTAAGAAAACACGTATGTACATATATGCATACTACACACATGCGAGCGCACACACACAGAAAAAAGAAAGAAAAGCACAGAAGCAGGAATCACTCCCCAGTGTGGTTTGAATGGTGGGTCTACCAGCACCTAGGTGGCGCTAAGAAAATCAGTAGGGATCTCAATCCCTTCTCGTTCAGAAGCCTTGTCTGTAAATGGTGATAAGCAAACTGCTCCCATGCTGAGATAATATGTATAACTGAAGATGTATATAAAACACCAAGCAACATGCTTGGCCTGTAAGTGGTCATCAGTCATAGTCATGGGAATCACTATAAACAGAAGTCCAGGCAGAGGCACTGCATGTATGTACATATATTTATACAATAGATACCTTTATATTTATATTTAAAATTGGTTTATGCTAGAGCTTTGAAAAACTACAATCAATTTTCAATCTAAAACTGTTTTCTGTTTGCACATTTTACTGTTTACTACTTTCTCTATGTGCATCTCAAAAGAATGGTGTCATCTTAAAACAAGGTGTTCGGAAGACAGACAGAAAAGGCATGACAGAGGCCTAAAAAGCGGATCCAACTAAGGACATTTTCTTCAGTTTTAAGACTCATCCAAGGACATTTTGCATGTCAAAGGCCAGTTCTTATTCTTGGCCAGAGTTCATGTAAAATAGACCATTCTTAACTGAGGGGAGGCCTCAGTGGGGGCCCCTGGTATGGGAACCACAAGAAATATCAAGGAAGAGGATGGATGGGAGATGAGAAAACTGGAAAAGTAAATGGAATTTTAAAAAGGGGTGAGCTGGGGAGTCACCTGGGTCTCTGGGGAATAAAATACACCGTGAACAACTATTGCTTTTGCTTGTCAACAAAACCTTCCAAATATAAGATACAAACGCCTTTGAAATATATTGACTCTTTATCCAAGGATGCAGAGTGGGCAAAACCATATGTAAATTCAGAGATAATATGCTTGCACAGTCAGGGGCATGGAACTCCTTAGTGCCAAGAAAGACGGGATTCCAGGTCACATTCATCTAAGCCATCCTCACTAGTAAATGCAAGTTAGCAGTAAATGTCTAAGTTACAAAGTGGGTAGGGAAATGAAGGAGGACAGTTGACCGTCTATATGACCAAGTTCTGTACCCCAGGCTCACCCAGGAGCTCCCAATGAGCCCTGGACATATAGCCATAGACAGAATTTATTTAGTTTTCACCCTAAGAAGTCCATACTATGCTATATAGGTTCTATATTTTCTGAGCTACTGTTATTTTGCAATTTTTAAAATGCTATATGCAGGTAAATTTAATGCACAAAGTAAAGGGATTCCTTTAATCTCTTGCATGATGATTGATAGACATTAAGGATATTAATATATTAATAAATTTATATAATACATTGATCTGATGTTCAACATAGAGAAAACACATTCTTCTTACATACACAAAGATTTAAAACCTGTCATTAAACCACTAAAAACACGAATAGATGGATGACCAGAACCCATGTCATGTGATCTCCCTTCCTGGTCATAATGCAGTTAAGTTGAAAATAAACAATAAGGAAATAAATCTGAAATTAAAAAAACTCACTAACTATAAAATTTAACACACCTAAATTTTGCATTTTCAACATCACATTCACAAATAAAAATATAAAATTGGGCCAAAGATTTAATTCTCTTAGGTTAATACATATCTAAATCACCATCTCAAGAGGATTTTTCAGGGAGCTTTACAAATGAGTTGGAAATCTTTGCAGAGGATCTGAGATTGTTGTTGAGTGAATAAAAACAAAGCAGAGTACTGTCTCATGAAATGTCCAAATCCATTCAATAACCACGGCAGCCAGGTATAACTGTGATCTTGATTCACAACTGAAATGGACTAATGGAAGAAGGTCACTGCCTAGGACACAGACTCACACACACACACAATACTAGTTCATAACGAACATGTCAGTACCATCAGTGGGGGCATTGATAGTCTATCCAACAAATGGTGCTGGCACTAATGTCAGTCATAGAATAAAATGCCGAGAGCTGGTCTTCAAACCGTACATGGGGAAAGAATCCTAAATAGTTAAGCAAAAAATGAACCATACACCAAAACAACCCATGCTGTAAAATGCTAAAAACGTGTCTTCTTTTTGCAATAGAGTCTGTATGAGCTCTTCATCCCTTCCAGGGACACAGGCAAGCATCAGATGACTCATGCCTTGGTCTTCTCGGGAATTCTTGGAGCTGAGAGAAAGGCTCCCCTCATCATCTAGGCTGCTATCACTTATACTCCTGCTTTCCTGGCAATGATGGTGCTTTCCTGAACTTCACCCTTACTGAAGATTCCTGGAGCATTCCTCCTGGAGCATTTGTACTATTGCCAGGGACCCAGAAATCTCCCACATGGTAATTAGCAATACAGAGTATTTCCCTCTATTCTCTTTCTGATATTTGGCCTCAGACATTTGTTTTTGTTTGAGAGGGGAGAGAAATTGGGAGGACATTGTTTTTCTCATAGGAATTCCACATTATTTCCATTATGCTAATGTCAGCAATAAAGGATTGGTTACAGAAAGAACTGAAATGATATACTTGAGAGGGAGAACAATTTTCTTGGATGTGGAAACAAGCAGGTCCTTTTGCTCCACGCCGTGGGAACAGTCAGCCCTTCTTTTTCTAGGAGTTCCTTGCTTTCCCAGTAGAAAAGGAGTCTGCCCAACAACCTGAGACAACCAGTCCAATCATGACCTTGAGTGGTTTGGGGTGTCTCTCAGCTCCTGACAGAATAGACGGCGGCCTGGGCTGAGTGAACACAACATAGATGATTTGACCTGAAGTGGGGTGGATGGCTCTCTGTCATCGGCAGTCTCTCCCTTTTGATGATGAGTTGGCACCGCGCTGATCTAAGAATCTGCAGACAGACTAAACATGAGATTGGAAGTCTTTCTGAAGGCGAAGCTGAGACAAACAGGAAAGATGAACGCTAGCTTCAGTTTTTAAAACAGTTGAGAACCATTCAAGACGGTCTCAGTCTGCTAGCTAGCCAGGTGCCGAGCCAAGGGATGTCTCTAAGCTCAAGGGCAGCAGATAAGTCTTGTTTGTTTAGTGCACAGTGAATTTGAGTGGACACACAGTATCTTCTAGAGACAGAGCTCAGATAGCACAGCTTCTCTTCTCACAGCAGTGATCAGCTAGGGAGGCAGTTCCACTGGTAAAATGATTTCCTTGCAAGTACGAGGACCCAAGTTCAACCCCCAGAACCCCCCTCTCCCACACACACACACAAAAGGCAGGCATGGTGGCATGTTCTTCAAACTCCAGACCTTAGAAAGCAGAAAGAGGTAAATATCTGGGGCTCAGCTCACTGGCCAGCCAGTCCAGTCAACTTGCAAGCTCTAGGCCACTGAGAGACCCTGTCTCAAAAAGACAAAATGGACAGCTCCTGAGGAATGACATTCAAGGTTGCCTTCTGCTTCCCACATATATACTCACACACATATGCACCTACACACCTACAGACTCACAAACTCACTCCCCCCACCCTTGAATCCAGCCTGATCACGTGGCTTGTTTTGAACAATGCAGCAACAGAGCCATCATGTAGAGGCCAAGTCTTGGACGTTTCCACACAGAGGCTCACCCCTCTGTTGCCCTTGCAGGGGTGGCCCACCAGCACCACAGTGTAAGCAGGCCTGAGTGAGGTGACTGCACAATCAGGTTTATGCTATGGTCTCCTGTCCACTCAGCCAAGGGCCAGACAATTGCTAGATTTAGATAACCAGTAAACCCAAAGAGACCAGCTGATTGCCAACACCTGAGTAAAGCAAGTTGGAACCGGATCATCTGTCAGAGCACGCATGGCCAACATTACCAGGGAGGAGGGGGTAGTAACACATGGCTGCTATTTTTAACAACTAATTTTAGATGCTACTTATGTGCTCTAAAGCTGACCCAAACAGGATGGATGGGTCAGGAGAATATTTTCCCTATTTCTGATCAGAAAATTCTGGCAATTTTTTTGTGGCCTCCAATAAAAATCTAAATGTAGGAACAATAAAATTCACTTCATAATCTTACCTACTTGGTAAACTTATCCATCACCACATGCAATAGGCCCCTGCCAAGCAAGCCATTCAAGACAGAGATTAGAGTACTAAGAGGCATCATGGCTCAGTTGTGGAAAAATATTGTGCTGAATACAGCTAGACCTAACAAAGCTAAAAGCGCAAGACCTCAGTAAAGTAGATTACACAACAAAACCCAAGAACGAAGGAATATTGGGTCCCCAACAAGGTAAGATTTATGATATATTGATTGAAAATGCCAATGTGTGAAAAGAAATTATACACACACACACACACACACACACACACACACACACACACACACACAGACATGTGAATAGTCATTGTAACTAAAGCCCAATGAGGCACACATGATAGGTATAAGAGTCCAGCCAAAAGAGTCAAGTGGCATTGCAGAAAACTGACTAGTGGACTTGAACAATGACATCAGTATTTAAAAAGCAACACATTAAAGAACCAAGGAAAAGAAGAATCCACAGAATACCAATAAAGTTTGGGAAAGTCATTCAACATGGAACTGGAGTCATCATAAGAAAGGGGAGATGAATTTTTTTTTAAAAAAAT